ATATATATATATATATATATATATATATATGTGTGTGTGTGTGTGTGTGTGTGTGTGTGTGTTCGCTCATATTGCATCTTTAAGGTCAAACGGTCAGAGATTGGTTAGTGCAATTCACTATTTTAGTATTTGTCACGGTATTTGCAGATTTTTGACGTATATTTTCTCGGTGAACTCAAATAGCAAATAACAGACCATATCGAACAAATTAAAAAATGGTTTTATTCAGAATTAAAGGGAGTATGTCCACTCCCCGATGGGGGAACTCCATCTCTTTTTTATCGTGACAATCGACCAGCCCACTATATATATTCCATTGTGAGCGAGTTTAGACACGTAGAAGTGTTATTTGTGTATAATTGTAAAAATCTAAAAGAAAACAAAATAAAGAAATCAATTTTAAAAAATAGTTATTTTTGGAGTAGCAGTTGAATCGACACGAAACGACCACCATGAAACGAACCATATGTTCAGGTGTAACTGTATAGGAATATATACTAACATGATAATGTTATCACCAAACCATGCACTAGTCCACACAGCACATGTACTCTCGCTTCCCTAAAATCCCTCTTTCTGGATACCGGTCATAATATGCAGGCTTATACACGATCAAATTGTAATACGCAAACTTGTAAATGTACTAGTATAAGCAGTTTTCATATAACACCATGAAACTGTGGCGGAAAAAAAATGCTTCTTTTGAAACTAACGCGGTTGACATGAGTAGCGAGAAAAAATGGCGAGATGACAATCAAAGCAACATGTCAGAGACATAACCATATTTAAATTGTTCCTTAATAAAAAACAAAAACAAATCTACGTTGGTAAAGCCACGCAATTTAATATCGTATCTCAAGAACTCACCTTTCACACGCTCAGCGTCACGCAATATGTGTTGATAACTCTGGTATGGAAGTTCTGTCAATTCATTGAAGCGCTGTCGGTAACCACCGGAAGAGTTCCATCTCCGAGAATGGCATAGTATAACCACGTCGAACAATTCCAGGTCCTGCGAAGTCACGACAACCCCACCCGTCATTTTAAATACTTTAACTTTCTTGACAATACGAGATTCGATGAGTTTGTCGTAAAGCAGTTGGATCGTGCTCGACGTCGCTAGTGTTAGCACAGCTGCGTTTATCTTGTTTGTCGATGTCGGTTGTTGACGGGTGACTTTGCCGGACCTATCCTCCGGCATTGTCACGCCCGGTGGCGTCAAAACCCCCGGTTCTGTGCGTGATGTCTTACCAGTTTATATTCCACAGTCTATATCATCGAAGCTGTTTCGATCAGGCTTACGTCAATCCCCCGGGCATTTTCGCTGTCATCTACAGTAAATATGCCTCATCATTACTTACCAACACGACCTCTAAATTTAGAATTAGACGAGCGGACGTGTTTCTATTTTTATTCACTTACACAGCTAGTTGCTGGTCTATCCAAACTGTTCGAGTGTGAATGACACGGAACCGTTCGCTGAGGCTACTCGATTAAAGGACGTGTGTCAACTGAACTCCGACCGCTTGTCACATCATCAACGGCGCCGAAACCCATAATAACGCCATCTCGATGGTACAGTTGGCAATATATGATTTGGCGAAATTACTCACAACGTGAATCGGACTAGGCAGATGAATCGATTAGCACACCATCCCCGTAACGTCTGTCATTGTAATACAAGTATAGGCAGCGAACAATGATGCAAATAGATGTTATTTTTGAGGACAAACACAAACAATGGCCGGGAAATCAATGATGCATAAATGGCTGGGATACTCGTCTTGAGCCTACCAGGAAGAAAACCAAAATAAAGAAACAAGTCCTCTACAAGTATTCTAAAGCTCACTAGACAAACCCTACTACAAATCTAAAACGAGGGTTAGTTCCAGTCATCCCGCGGTAATCCGCCACTCGTTAACGTTGCGACAAAAAATGCTGTAAATTGCAAATTTTAATGACTTAAATGCACTTGATTTAATTTCAAGTGGATGGAATGTAATTTGGTTAGAAATTATTTCCAGGTACACATCATATAACAAAAGTCGGGCTGGGTGATTTAATTCTATTTTGATTTAAATCATCAATATCATGTTTTTTAACTGTCAGGAAGAGTCCTGTGTTTATTTAAATCGAATATAATGGCTATTGATTTAAATCTGAAAGGTTTGTTTAAAAAAAAATCGGATGTATTCACATATTTGTTAAAAACTCAACAGCTATATAGAATTCAAAGAAATTTATTTCGGATATGCCCACGGGTTATCAAAATCTTCTACGGATTTTAATGGGATATTTTAACGAGTTAAATACAAATGAATTTAAGTTGGATATTTTCACGTCAATTTCAACCGTCAATATTGACAATTTAAAGTTATGTCAAACTAACGGCGTAATTGTGGATATATCCGATTTAAATCAAATTCACAATTGATGATTCGTCAATATTGATTAAAATTGATGTCCAAAATGTTGGTGTAAGTTTTTTAAAATACGTGGATAAATCAAATTTAAATTCATTTTGCATTTAAATCTAAATGGGCTAATGACGCATTACCCAGATATCAATATTAATATTGCGAATTTGGGTATATGCTGCGTGCCTGGAAAAATACTGTATGTTTACCATGAAATATTGATGATTAAATCAGATATATTCACGTGTTAAGTAAAGTTCAGCCCTACTTGGATTTAAATCGCCAGTATTAACGATTGAAATCAAAATATTCACGCATGTTTTTGAAAAACTTTCATTGACACTGGGAGAAGCATTCAAATCGTCAGTACTGACGGTTTAAATCGAAATGAATTTAAATCGGATATCCACGTGTTTTGTTTCTAAAGATTCGCGGACAGCCGTACCTGGTTTTCAATCGTCAGTACCGGTATTTAACGATTTGAATCGAAATAAATTTAAATTGGACACATCCACGTGATTTTCAACTTTCACAGACAGCCTATTTGGATTGTTAAAAACATCCATGAGCAGTCTGACGTGGATTTATATCTTTTCTGTCCACTTCCCTGACCAAAGTGATGATTGATATCAAATTTCAGAAAATGAATTAAATAACACAATGCAATGAGAACCACCTGTTGCTGTGTATAATTTGTATTTTTGTTAATATCCACATTTCAGGTGAATCGCCTCGTTGATTTTATTGTTGCCAAGGTAGCAAACATTATCCTGTCAGAACATGACGAGAAATAAACGGCACGAGTTGTAATCAAGTAACAAGATTCCAGTGGCAACGTTTTATTTTGACTTTGAGAAACAGGTGAAGAGTAAGACGATTAACGGTTCGGGAATGTATGAACGACCATGCGTTACTTAATTTGTCAAGTTATGACGTTTTTTTGAAGAAGGAGAATTAAGGCTGTAACAGATATTGAACATATGATATCGATATGATTGATCAAATTTAGTCTTGCATTGGCCTCATTTTAGATTAGAAGTATTTGATATAAGACTGAACACGTTTGGTATATAATTGGACACATTTCCATTTCGCAGTATTGATTATATATGATATTTGATTGTTCAAATTAGTCAATTATTGGCCACATTTTGTTTACAATGGTCTAGGATTAACCAAATTTAGTATAGGATTGGCAACATGTTAATATGACAGTACCTCAATCAATGTCTCACCTAAGAATACATTTCTTTGATATTACACAATGTGTTTGAGCTGGTTATGGTACACTGTATTCTTTTGGGTAAATGTGTAAGTTGAAGTGGACTATCCACAATTTCTAATGTTTTAAATATTTTTCTCGTTAAAAACAAATATGGCAGACAGACTTGAAAATACCAAATCAAAAGAATAGGGAGATGTAGTATTGTAACCTTTAACCTGAATTATTGAATAGCGAAACGTCTAATTTAAATCTGTTTTGTTTAGGGTATAGTGTGAATAAATTCGGATATTGTTTTGAGAAATTAAATTAAAAGTTATACACTTTAATAAAAATAACCATATCTTGAATAATATTTCTCATCCTTATAATGTTAATGGATAATTGAAATGCATATCTTTCATTCGATATATCACAATCATTTTTAAGTAGGTTGAACACTTTCTGCACGAGGCTGTGTGTGTGTGTGGGGGGGGGGGAGGGTGACGTTTTGTAACCCATGAGCTGTATATGAATATATTGGTTGACCTTATACACATTTTCATGTACTTTATTGAAAAAAAAAACTGCAAAACTTCACATAATTTTCCAACTTTTAATATGATGTCAAGTAATATTGGATAAGATAAAACATATTGGAAAAGCTTATGCTGCAATTTGTTTTACCCTCTGCCTTGACATGTCTGGACCATCTGGGGGGGGGGGGTGAATGAATGAACACACCGTTAAATTTTTTTTCGGTAAACCTGCGTTTGTTTGAAATCATTTAATGCAATATGATATGACCCATGCCTTGAGTACTGTACGTGTAAGTTCGTTGTAACGAGACCCAGTTTTTGTACTGAGTTGAAAACCAAACAAAAATATGTTTCAAAACAGTGACACTACTAGTGCATTCAATAAACTTTTCATGGTTATATTATTATTTTATACAATCTAAGTTTGTTATATTTTGTAACACATTTTCAATAGACACCTTACCAGGATGGCCTATAACGTCTAAGGTACCAGTACCTTATTTAGTATCATGACACAGAAGTTCCCGAAAGATTATTATCGTCCGCCTCATGAGGGCACTGTCCTACTCCAAAACTGAACGTACTTTTAACTTTGACCCCTTTCTTCCAAAAAGTAGTTAATGTCGTTAGTACACCAAATCAAGTTAAACATACTACAGTTAAAAAAAGTATCATTATAAATATATCTATCTTTCTAATCGTTGTATATAATATTGGATTTATAAAAAGCCTATCAGAATATACGACGAATGTACATACTGTTAATAAAACACACGTTGTTTTGAAATGTGCGTCCAACATGGCGGACAGTCTAGCACGGAGTTCTCCAGTAGTCGATGTTGTTGAAGAAGTGGATTTCCTTTCTACCATACACGTAGGCGATTTCGTAGGGTTATGTACAAGTGTACTAGAAGAAGACGATGTGTCTTTAGAAAAGAAGAAGGTATCGAATGAAGATTTGGCCATGGCAATGGGAACGGAAACAGAAACAGTGAATGAACTTGCCAGAGTTTGCCAGTATGTAGCTGTTACTGTACATTTTTCGCTGTATTTCTTTTTTTCTGTCGTGAAACTGAGCTTAAAGTGGGGAGTTGTCACCTGCGCATGCGTCAGATGGCCAAGCGTGTCACTGTTCAACCTGGTGATTGGTTGGTTTACTTTAAGAACCTACTTAATACTGATAGCAGTACATCAAACTCTGAGATTGCGAATGAACTGGAGAATAGTGAAAAGAGTGCAAGTAGCAACCCCTATTTAGACAGACCAATCTTAAAAAATGAAATAACTAAAGCCATTAGACTTCTTAAAAGTAACAAGGCTTCGGCAGAAGATAGAATTTGCAATGAATTGTTAAAATACGGTGAACATCACTTATTAGATGCAATACATAAACTCTTTAATATTGTTTATAGTTCAAATAACTATCCACATTCTTGGAGCACTGGCCTGTTGGTACCAATCCACAAATCTGGGTCGAAAAATAACCCGGCCAACTACAGGGGAATTGCCATCTCTAGCTGTCTTGGCAAGTTATTCAATAGTATTCTAAATATTAGGCTGACATCATTTTTAGACTCTAATAACATTCTTTCCGGTCGACAGTTCGGATTCAGGCATGATTGTCGAACTACAGACAATCTTTTCATACTAAAAACCCTGGTAAATAAATATCTCTACAGTGGTAAGTCAGAGTGCGCCAATAAACAAAATAACACAAATATTAAACAATCAAAAAAATTATATGCCTGCTTTATTGACCTTAGAAAGGCCTTTGACAGTGTCTGGCATGATGGTCTATTCAAAAAATTAATCAAATATGGTATAACTGGAAAAATGTATAAAACTATCAAAAACATGTACAGTAAAGTAAAATATAAAGTTAAATGTAAAGAAGGCTTAACTAAACAATTTCAGTCCAATATTGGTGTTAAACAGGGATGTAATCTTAGTCCAACTCTCTTCAATCTTTTTTTAAATGACCTGCCCACTATTTTCAATCCTAATACCTGTGATCCTCCTTATTTAGAAAACTCGCATGTCAGTTGTCTACTCTATGCCGATGATATTGTGATACTTTCTAAAACTAAACAGGGATTACAGACATGTCTTGATAGTTTGGCATTGTATGCTAAAACGTGGAAGCTCTCTGTCAACACTGACAAAACCAAAATTTTAATTTTCAATAAATCAAACAGACGTTTGAATAATGATACATTTTTTCTTGGAGGTATCGAACTTGATACAGTTAAATCTTATAACTATCTGGGACTAGTCATTAGTGCCAATGGTAAATTTAAGGATGGCCTAAAAAACCTTAAACGTAAGGCTCAAAAAGCTCTGTTTTCAATGAAAGCAAAGCTTGGCTCAATACAAAACATAAGTATAAAAGTTTCAATTTCCCTTTTTGACAAACTCATCAGACCTATCCTCATTTATGGTTGTGATGTTTGGGGTGATG